CTTAATATTATCAACGAGAAAAAAAGAGAATTTTTGCTCCGAATCGGGGAATCGAACACCGGGCTTGACGGTTTTAATGTTGTTAGACATTGAGAGCGTCAAATGTTAGCCACTACACCAATTCGGATCTACATATGCTTAGGTCCATGTCCAACTGGTATTTAACTACATACAAGCTACCTAGGTATGTAGCTTGTACATCTATCGCAAACAACAGCAAACTTGGAGCAGCTAATAAACCACGGCATTTCAAGCAATCAGGTATAAGGTCCTTAAGCAGTATATGTTTTGACTTTCATGACGTTTCTCATCTAACTATTTAGTTGAGTTACAGGTAGTGTACAAAGTCGCGAGGCACGTTTCTTCTGCCTCTTGTTGTTGGTATCATTTCTAGCAAGGCGGGTCTTGCTCCGTCGCAAAAGTTAGTCTCAGAATACACTCCACATCCGCCTTTTTCCATTTTCGCACATGCGACACTCCCGCGAAAACCACCATGCTTCATAATGACACCCCATCCGAACGCCCTATCGTTGGTACAAGTTGCCACATCCTATCCGGCCTTACTTAGACATTACTACTGTTGGTACAAGCTTGGGTATATAGTACTAGAAGGTTATGCCGTACGGCTACCGTATTATGAAGATAGCGGCAAGGATCGTAGCCATCAATGCTTTCGAGTCGTATGCTGACCATATGGCGGCACCCAAGCTCCGAAGAGGTGCAGGGTCGAACGGACTTCCACCAATGAAAGGTGTTGGCGCATCGTCCTGTGAACTGGAACTGTCGGGTGGCGCTGTTTGCACCGGTTCACTCGTCACGGTAGATTGTGCCGTGGTTTGTGCCGTGGTTTGTACCGATGTAGCCTCGGTAGAGGAGCTTGTGGACGTGTCCGAATCGTCGCTCGTAGTAGACGGTGATGGGTTATCTGTCGTCGATTGTATCGTCGTTGAGGCATCACTAGTAGATGCATCGCTAGTAGGGGTTGTCTCGGGCGACGTTGTGGTTGCTGCCTCCGTGGTTGTGTCTACCGGAGTCGTTGTTGGTATTGTTGAGAACCCCTTCGTGGTCCCCGGTTGCACAGTCGTAGTAACGGTCGTAGCTTGAAATCCGGGACAGAGCGTATCGATCAAGTCACCCGACAACACGATCCCAAGTAACGACCTCTGGCTAACATTAAGGTCCCCGCATGCATCATTTACTAGACTCGCCTCCTTTTGTAGTCCATTCACACAAGTCGCTGAACATTGCCTTCCATTCGTAAAGTCATTGCTTGTGCAACCCTCGATCTCTGTCTGGTAGGCGCGAATGCATTTTTTAGGTATTTGATTTGACGTGATGACCTGAAACTGGGACAGGTTGAGAGCCGATGAGGTCGAGGCTACGGCTAACAAACAGCCCAAGTTCAGAAGCGGCCGTCGCGACCGCTGCCGACGATGCGTCATCCTTGGCAAGAAACCCTTCCCGTACAGTTCGGGTTCCTAGCACTATGTCGTCGTCGTCAATTGGAATATCGAAAGTGTCGATATCTCGTTTCGAATGATTTTAGCTGGAAATTGCGAGATGCTGCGGCGCGAGGGAAAATCCGCCCAAATGATGATTATCCTTCTAGAATACAGCCTGACAGCGTATGCCAAGCTAGCCGGCGTCCCAGTCAACCAAATTGAGGCTAACGTAATTGTGCCTAGTCCGATCGAAGAGGTAGGCACGCCGAAACGCGATTTGCGTCAGAAGACCGTGAATGACGGACGCACTGCTACCTCGTCCAATCAAAAAGTCGCTTGACCTCTAGGAATGACGGTAGTTAGGGTCAATGCGTTTCTTGGACGATATTCTTATATTATCCTGACCTCTCGGTGTTCCCAGTCGTAAACTAGGCTGGTCCAAGATCGTAAAGCCTTATGCCGAAAGTGACATCAGGTGGTGAAACTCAGAATCTCAAAGTCTGGCCACGATATCACCGTTTTGGGATCGGATCATGCGCCAACACTCTGGATTGAGGAAATGTTGCCTGGTCTGTTCCACGGGGAAGATTATCTCTCATATAGGGGACCGTTTGTGCCCTTTTGTGTGGTAAAGTATGATGCGAAACACGAAGTGGTGAGACGGTTGAGCAACAGATTAGGGACGGGAGTGACGGGCGGGAAGAGCGGCCGAAGTAACCACTCGATACCAATTCTATTAAGAGAACAAACGGAAAAAAATGTATTTGGGGCCAACGGGCGGGAGAAGGCAACTAAGTAACCAACGCAGTCAATGCGAAACGGCAGTTGGAAGAATGTTGGAATAAAACGAAGCGCTGCTTCATTATTTTTGGCACGTAACCTAATATGGTTGTAACCGCGAAGGCAACTCAAGCCACGATAGTAGCAACGGCAATGATAGTGGGCAAGGTAGAAACGAAGGCGACGAGAGAAAGAAACACTTTATGAGAAACAATTGCTATTCCTTCCGGGATGAAATGGGTTAAGGAGTCGTCGTGTTTACCTATTTGAGATCGAGCTTACCATTTTCATCCCGGTACGCGAGATTCCTTGCTTGCCATCTGCTATAACCCCAGCTATGACCCTGGGTCTATCGCACGGGACAATCAATTGAACACGGAAATCGGGGCATCTTACCCGTCGTTACTGCCTCATAACTTACCAAAAGCTCCCGGGAGCTGTCGAGATTCGTGCAAAGAGAACCAGAAGCTCAACCCCAGGATCGGCCCCTACAGGAGAAGTTGGAAGAGATAAACCAATGAAAGACGGAAATGATGTAGAGAGGACGAAACGAAACACTTGGATGTTTGAGGTGCCGACCAGATTACCCCCTGCTCAGTGTTTAATTGGCTGAGGGGAACTTGCCTTGATGAGAAAGTTACGTAGTGGCACTTGACTGGCAGCTGCAGTTGCCTGTGAATATTCGACTACATGCCGTGCCACAGTTTTTATCACCTTGTGCCACCTGACGGCGTTTACGATGTGTGCTTTGGCCTATTTATTTCTTTGTCAATTCTTCAACTCTTCCAACCAACACGATAAGCAATAGAAATCCTTGGCCCGCCGTCCCGCCGTCCAATAGCTGCATTAGTAGTCCGGAGTAGTTGCGATGATGAGGGAGAGGGCAGTAGTTTCGTACTATTCCCTTTCCTCGCTTTCTACATACTGCATTAGAGTTGAGTCATTGGCCGACACAGCTTGAACCAATCGCAACTTCAGCTGCATGGCAGCTACCGGCTTGCTTTCTCTGTTGACCGCCTAACAGCACTCTTGATAAATGAAGAGTATTGGTATATTTCCTTGACAGAACTGACATATATGAAATGAAATCGATAGGTACTTATCATCGTCATTTTTAGAGAAAGCTGCAGGGCGATTCATCTTGGTTGCTAATTCAGCCCATCTTGAGCCCACAATTTCCGACACTACGACTACACTAGCATTGCCTGAAACTACACATCTTATATAAGTTGATCAATTTAGGCGTTGTAACCTAATAACCCCCAAACCCAAGACATGGCACCAGTCGACCGGGAGTTACTGAAATCCAAAGTCCTCGGGTATCTCAAGAGGACACTCTTTGAGCCATCGTCCCTCGATGTGCTATCAGGCGGCACAGCGAATTTTATATACCGTGCCACCCTGTTACAGCCACTCGAGGACGGGACAAAAGAGGTCGTGGTCAAGTTGTCCGAGGACTACGTTGCGAACTCCCCGGACTTCCACTTGCCACTGTCCCGCGGTGTATGCAATTATCCACTAAAAAATCTTAAGTATCGTCTAGTTTAGTGAGACCAGACTGATTGTTCATAGTTAATTGAGGTATGCTGTCTCGACTTGCTGTCGTCCCTGCCCGTCGCCGACAGGGCAGACGAAAGCGAGCCTTACAACTTTGTGGTGAGGACGCCCAAGTTATTCCACTCTGACGTGGGGAATAGTCGGATCCAGGTGCAGGAGTATCTAGAGAATGGCGTCGACCTGAAGACGTACGCGTTGAAAACCTACGCCAATTCTAACTCCGAGGCGACGAAGCAGCAGTGCCTCCAGCTGGGGAAGGCCTTGGGACGGTGGCTCAAGGGCTTCCACGAGTGGAATGTGCTGCAGGAAGAGCAACGAAGCGAGAAACAGCTGCGGGGCATCGTTGCCGATAATGACTACCTGCAGACGCTAAAGCATACGATCAACTACTCATGGCTGCTGGACCGAGTCAAGCAATTCCCGTCCGTCCTCGGCGATGCCCAGGATGTCTTCGAGCAAGTGAGGGACATGGCTCAGGAAGAATTGGATTGCGAGGATGATCTTCAGGCCATCCATGGGGATTTCTGGACAGGAAAGTGAGCATGCTAGGTTTGCGCTCTGAGAACTCGGACTGACCGCATGGCTAGTGTTCTTCTGCCTAATGTACCGATCCAGGAGGGTGTGGACGTGCCGATGTTCGTGATCGACTGGGAGATGGCGCAACTAGGGAAGCAAAACCTGGACGTGGGTCAGATGATCGCCGAGTTGTACGAGTTAAAGCTGTACAAAGATATCTCGGGTGGCCTGTGGATGATCCAGGGGTTCCTGGACGGCTACGGTGCGGTGATCGAAGAGTTTGCTTTTCGCACGGCAATTCAAGTCGGAGCCCATCTAGTTTGTTTCGGGACGTCAGTTCAGGGCTGGGGCACACCGGAGCAGGTTGAAAATGTTGCGCGTACCGGAAAGGAGATCATAGTCCACGCCTGGGAGAAAGACCGCAGCTGGTTTGAAACGAACGACCTCGCTTGCCTGTTTAGCAAAATCGAATTAAGCGAAGAGGAATCCTAGATCAATACGTACTCTTCAGGGTTGTTCTCTCGCAAACTGCAGACACTATATCAAACAGGAAGTCATCGTGTGCTGTCACATCCCTAGGAAGGGTATGCTAATGAGTGAAGCACGGTGAACTCCGAATGCCGTGCGAGTGGACTTGAGGCCTAGCGTTATAAATACGTTTAGCATAGAAGCATATGAATCCACAAGGGACCCATACATAGGAAGGGCAAGATAGCCGAATTGGTTACGGCGTGAGGATAAGGTCACATTAGCAGCTGTTTCCTCAGGAGCAATCCGCGTGGGTTCAAATCCCACTCTTGTCGCCACTCTCTTTTTTTCTTCTGCCCATCATTTTATTGTTTTTTCGTCTCCTTTCCATTATTAGCTGAATTGTGCGCGTGGTTTGGGCTAGGCTCAGAGAAAGGGATGAGCCTCTGCGAATTTCTTAATTGCACTAGCTCATCGACTACTGGAAATTTTTAATATTGCTCAAGGAACATTAATATAAAAAGTAAATCGTAAAACTATAAGTTCCAATAAGTATCGCGTAGTATTAGTATTATAGTACCTATAAGCTCATTCAGGGGCACCGTTTACCAGTGGCAAGGACACCAACCAACGCCAGCCTAAGGAAAAGAATTCTGCCACGGTTTCTCCGCAGAGAATTCTAGATGAGTCAAACCTGTACTGCGTGCGAAGTAATTCTCAATGCCCAACTTTTCTTTTCTTGTATTTCCATTAATCACCGTCTAAAATAATCTTAAAAGAGAAAACGCTTATAAACCTACTTTATCCGAGTGTCGCGAAATATTTCCGTAGGCACTGCGCCGATGACGACATCCGCGACAGCACCCCCGGCCTCCGCGGCGGGGGAGTTCCGGCCGTGCAACCGGTGCCAGGAGCGCGAGGGCACCATCGACCTCCGCGGCGCCGAGCGAGTGTGCAAGTAGGCCACCACCTACCCAGCCAACACCCTACCTATTCTCCTTCATCCATCCCTCCATCCCTTTATCCCTCCATCCTTCCCACTGACCCGCATCGCCAGCTCCTGTTTCGCATACTACGTCTCCACCAAAGCCGTCAAACGCCTGGAGGTGCTGCATCGCGACACCATCAACAGCAGCAATAGTAGCAAACCACCCCGCGGCCAGCGCCCGCCGCAGCGGTACCTCGTCGGGCTGTCCCTGGGCCCGTCGTCCACGGCGCTGCTGCACATACTAACGGAGAACGCGCGCGCGCAGCGGGCGCGCGCCGGGGGCCAGAAGGCCGCGCGCTTCGCGTACGCGGCCGTGCACGTCGTCGACGACGCCGCGTCAGCCTCGCCATCCGCGCCCGACGATGCGCTGTCCGCGTACCGCGCGCAGTTCCCGGACGCGGAGCTGGTCGCCGTGCCGCTGAGCGCCGCGCTCGATTTACCGTCCGCGTGCGTCGACTGGGCCGCTCTCCCCACCCCAAACACCGCGCTGGCGCCCGCGCCGCGTCTGGCGGACGTCCTGCGGCGCCTGCCGTCGGCGACGTCGCGCGCGGACGTGCGGCGCCTGCTGGTGCGGCACCTGCTTGTCGCGGCCGCGGCGGCGCGCGCCTGCGACGCGCTGCTGCTCGGCTGCAACACGACGACGCTGGCGGAGCTGACGCTGGCGGAGACGGCCAAGGGGCGTGGGTTTTCGCTGCCGTGGCTCGTCAACGACGGTGCGGTGCCGGTCCCGACGAGCCTTAGTCTTGGCGCTTCTGGCGCCGAGGCAACGGCGACGACGACGGCCTCCCTGCCGATATACAGCCCGCTGCGCGAGCTCTTCCGCAAGGAGCTCGTGCTCTACCTGACGCAGACCACGCCGCCCCTGACCGGCCTAACCACGCTGCTATCCAACGGCAGCAGCAACGGCAGCGGCAGCGGTGCCGTGGTGTCGCACCGCGACCAGAGCATCGACGACGTGCTGGCGCGGTACTTCGGCGACGTCGAGACCAACTACCCGTCGGTGGTCGCCAACGTGGTGCGCACGACGGGCAAGCTGCGGCGGCCCGGGGCGGGCGGCCGCGGGGCAGATGGAGGGGGTGGTGGTGAGGAGATCCGATGCGGCCTCTGCGGCACGTCGCTGGACGAGCTGGGCGACGAGCGGTGGAGGGGCGAGATCGGGGATAGGCTGGAAGAAGAGGAAGAAGCAGGAGCGGAAGGAGCGGAAGCACAAGCGGAAGCAAATGGCCAAGGGAGGAAGCCGAAGCTGTGTTACGGGTGCGAGAGGTCGACACGTGGGTAGCATTTAGCACCTACATAGTCACCCAATATAAAAAACAAAACAAAATTAAATAAGTAATTCTCCATTCACCCCCCTTTTTGGGTCCCAATGCACTTATAACCAGGGTTGCAAAATTATTCCTTAGTTTTTTTAGTTAATTAGTTAATCCAGTTTTTAGTTAGTTTTATTCCGGCAAAATCGGAATAATTTTATTTTTATTTTAGTTTAGTTAATCCGAAATTTTCGATTAGTTTTTTAGTTTATTCCTTAGTTAATCCATAGAATAATTCGGATTAAAATTCGCGATGTTTTCGTAATGTTTCCGCGATGTTTCTTGTTGTTTTAAAGGGAGCACGTGATATATGATCTGTGCTGAAATAAGGTCTGTGCTTTAAGGTTGCATTGCGAATTTTCCTAATGTAAAATTTAATTTCTCAACGCTTTTTTTTTAAAAAAAAAATATCTAAAAATAGAAATTAGTTCTTTAGTTAGTTTAGTTAATCCAGAGAATTTTTTTAGTTAGTTAGTTTTATTTTTTTTTATTTTTAATTAGTCTTAGTCCGGGGGGGGACTGGATTAAGATTAGTCTTAATCCGGGGGGGGACTGGATTAACTAACTAATTTTGCAACCCTGCTTATAACCGCCCCCTATAACGTCAGCTATGTGCTAGCTATTCCATGTCTAGGACCAGACCAGTACTGTAGGGCGTCCAAGTATTTGTCTACCTATCTTATCCGTACCCCTTTCTTACAAACCGAACTCAGTATCGCCGCCCCCGATATCTGGATATGATCGTGTCCTACATATATACCGTGCGGAAGACCGCCCCCGTGGGAAACTTTACCTTTGGCTACCGTAGACCTACAAGCTAGTTCTCCGTACTGCATACCTCTCTAAGTGAAAGAAGCTGCACGTTCATTCCCCGTCATATCGTTGCCCCGTCCCTCTTTAATTCCTGCTAAGTCCTTTAGCATCCCCCAGCGCCGAAGCCGGTAGTATCTTCTGCTCGAACTTGCGTATTAGCTTGTTGGTCTGCTCCGCCAAGCTCAGGGTTAGGATGGTGTGCGGCAGTATGCGGGCCAGGTGGGGCAGGAAGCCCTTGTATATGGCGAAGAAGCCCTCGGTCCGGATGGTCTTGCCCAGGCAGTCGAAGACGCCCTTGTACAGGTTGCCGTTCTGGTTGTACAGTCGCGACATGATCGTGTCTGTTTCTTTGTTAGCCTGTCCCTCTATAGCCAGAATTGATATAGGGATAAGGAGGACCTACCAGGCGGGTGCATAAAGCAGCACACCACGAACCCGGACACGGTGCTGCTCGCCAAGTGCAGCAGCGCGCCCTCCTCCATACCCAGATGTTTCACTAATCTCCTCTTGGCGAAGAAGTACGTGGGCAGCTGCACGGAGCTGCCGAACCCCGTCCGTATCATCGCGGCGCCCACGCCCCTATACAAGCCCCCCAGGCCCTCGGCCTTGTAGATCTGCGAGAGGCCGTCGACGGCGTTGCGGTAGTTGTGCTGGGTGCCGACGGGCAGGAAGGGGCTGTAGCTCTGCAGTCGAGTCTTGACGAGGAAGAAGGGGCTGCCGGCGGCGGCGCCGATGATGCCGCTGGAGGCGCCGCAGAACATGTTGATGCCGAGGTTCTGCTTCTTGCCGTCGCGCAGGAGCAGGGTGGCCAGGCCGTTGCGCATGGGCTCGTAGAAGCCGAGGCGGCAGCCGTTGAGCAGGACCTGGTAGACGTAGGCGCAGCCGATGCCGCGGTATATGCCCCGGAGCCCCTCGTTCCGCACGATGACGCCGACGCCGTGGAAGGGCCCGCGGTAGTGGTGCGGCTGGTGGCCCTTGGTCTGCAGCTCGCCCTGCAGCTGCATTCGGATCTTGACCGTCTCGAACGGGTGCGTCGCCGTCACTGCCCCGCACGCCGCTATCCCGCCCGCTACGAAGGCCCTGCCGCTGTCGCGTTAGAATTCCGAACCTAAAGCTTTTCCCGCACGTAGCGGGGAGAGGTAGGGCTTCTTACCCAGCAGTCGTCGCCATAGCGTCCCCTCACCAACTCAATTGCTTTGCCGGAGGGTCCGACTACACAAAATCTCTGGTCGCGGAAGCTCTACGTAACCAAGCTGACTGATGTATCACTCGAAACGAAATATGCGTATGTGTGTAGGGTTGCTTGAATCGGATCGGCGAAAGGTCACCGCATAGGTAATAGCCAGGGACCGTAGATCGCAAAGGGTAGGTAGCTGCAGTATGTACCTATCAACGCAAACGAAACGTGTGGGAGGGAGAGATCTCGATATGACTCGTGAAAAAAAGAAAACATAGAATCACAAATGCATCTTTTTAGGCCTTCCGGTCTCTCCGTAAGCTACACTGGTGACAATGAATCCATGGACAAAAAATAGAAAGTCCTGTAAGCAACTACGGTTGTTGGAGCTAAGGCGGATCGAATAATTTGTGAAAGAAAAAGAATTCCCACCTCCGAGTCCAATGGATCCCTTCTCCGAGCTCGCAGATGCTAATGCTAATTATACGCTAACAAAGCTACCCCAATATTAAACTCAAGTACCCACGTGTATATTACTAAGCTTATGAAAGCTTACGGCTTCATGTCTTACACGCAGTCCTTGAATCCTACCTACATATGAAAGCATATCGGTGACATCTCACTCCCTGAAGCATCTTAATCACCATGATTCCTATTCACTATCGTGAACTGTTGCAACTGATTAATGAAGAGTAGAACCTATCCCCGACTCCGTATTCCTTGACTGATTCCCGCCTAAGCCTTGAATGCATTCTATACTACACTACCACGCCATGCACGTATGCCTCGTAGACTCCATGACCGACCGTGAACAAAAAAAAAGGAGATATGTAAATGTGCAAAAGGTAAAAGAAGCCCAAGTAACGTAATGCTCGGATAGGTAAGCCACACTTTCGTGGCTGCTCGATGATTTATTCATCAAACACTGTCTTGATCATACTCCCTACGACTGCACTTTCAAGTCTGATAGATGTCTCTAGTGCCATGAATAGATCCAGTCTTGATAGGATTCCAAGTCTCGCCTAAGGTTCTAGCTCGACGACCCTT